CCTATGTATTATTTATGATCGCCTAAGTGATCTTCGGATGATCGCCTATTAGTTATTACCATGATCATTTTTTATAAAAAGTGGGAGATCCAACTAAAATTATAGATCACCTATGTGTTACCTAGAAATCGCCATGTATTATTTATGATCGCCTAAGTGATTTCTGATTATTCGCTTATTATTTATTACCAAGATTATTTTTTATAACCGGTGAAATCATAGATCCCTCTGTGTTACTTAGAAATCACACATGTATTATTTATAATCGCCTAAATGATATTCGGTTGATCGCTTATTAGTTATTACCCGGATCTTTTTTATATAAAGTGGGAGATTTAAATTAAATCATAAATTGCCTATGTGTTACTTAGAAATCACTCGTGCATTATTATGATCGCCTCCCGGTAAAAGTTACAACATTATTTTGATTTTAATTCTTCCACCATAATATAAAAAGAAAATCTTCCATCTTTTTACGCTTATTGGAGAATAAAGTTACAAAAAATGACTATTTATAGGATTATTTTACGTCGACTGTGTTAATTTAAGAATCAGAGCAGCCTTAAACTTTGGCATCATGAGTTTAAAACTCAAGAATGATTATGCACATTTCGGAATAGTAATTTAGCAAAAGTTTATTAGCACTCGATGAATGTTTTGAACTAGTAATTATATTATACGTGTCATTCTTTTTACATTAATATAATAAGTACCTTAAGGATAAAAAATATCTATTTTGTTGAATAAAGAAAATACTTATTTTATATTATGAAAGAAAATATTCTTTTTGTTGATGAAAGAAATATTTTTTACTACATTGTTTTGTTAAAATGAAAGAAAATATCATTAAAAAAAAGTACTTTTTAATTAAAATGAAAATAATATTTTTTTTATATCATGAAAAGAAAATACTCATTTGTTGAAATGAAAAGAAAGTACTCTATCTATAACATGAAAGAACATACTATTAATAAAATTTCTATTTAGGATGGGGTGGAGGGGCGGGGGTGGGGTAGGTAGGTGGGGGTTAGTGGGGATGGGGAATAGGATGGAGAAAGTTGACAATGTTATAAATAGAATTTTATTTACGGTGAATGTCTATATTTAGAGAGATTCTAGGGTTTATTACTTGGTGGCTAAGTCATCCTCTCCCTATAAATAGAGGGTTCTATTCCATTGTAATTCATCCCAAATCAATAAGAATTCTCTCCCTCTACTTTTCTCTGCAATACTCTTCTTCTTTTATTGTTTTATAACACGTTATCAGCACGAGACTCTAACCAATTGAGTAGAAGCTTTGGGATTGAGCATAATGATTGTCAATTATTCCATGAACTTCCTTCATGATTAAATTATGGATTTAAGGTAAGTATTTTACCGTATTTTTCTCTTTTATTCTATACTTTGATTTTAAATACAAGCAAAGACAACAAAGTTTGATTATAACTCTAATGGAGTTTGTAAGAAATTATAACCACCTGAAGCGGTAAAATTTCTATGCCTCGCCATGATCAAATTCATGTATGATTGTGGGCAAAGAATTGAAAACCCGTCCCATTGAATTTGCTCCATTCTCATTCCCTTAAGAGAATGTGATAGCAGTATGTGATAAGTCTGAAAGAAGATAAAATTATTACTATGAATGTATCAATGGATATGGACGTGGCAATAGACGAAATTATAATCGTCATCATTTGTGGTAATGAGAACAATAAGGATTCTCAAAATAATCTTTCACTTTGTGAAAAATATTTGTCATCGATTTGACATGAAATTTTGTAAAGCACATATAGATGATTATGGTCCATTCATGATGTGAATTTGACAACATCTGATTTATGAATACATATTCATTCTTCAAAGAATATGAACGTGCTAGTGGTAGTGAATATACCGCACTCACCTCTAAAAGGAGGTTTGAGATGATATAAGAAAATAATGTCATTATTATGGCATGAATGGTCATTGGTCACGTACCTATTGTACGCCAAAATATTTTGGCATTGTGATTGTTAAAAGACAACGGTAATGCAAGAAACAGATCTTGCATATAATTTTGACCATAACCATAATGGTATAACTTTCTCTTTAAAAGAGATATTTACCATATGGATGTTGATGAATATGTGGTAGTACCAAATTAATTGAGAGCTCTGGAAGAGCCAATTATTAATATTTTGGAGAAACCCAATTAATTACCAATAAGGTATTGTGTTGTAGTAAGTCTCAAAGAAACTTATTCAGTTTCCAAAGTATACGCGAAAGCGGTTGATTATATTGAGACTATAAATAAAGGAAAGAGTTAATATCTTCTATTACTACAACTTGTAGCGGGATAATATGTATGTGAAAAGCTACCCGCTTTATTCTCCGGTTTGTACTACACAAATAAAAGAATACCACACTAAAGTGGATGTTTATTGATATATAAACCCATATCATAATAAACTTGGAGTTTATTCACACGTCATGGTGTAAACCTGAAGTTTATCAATATTGATAATTTATTCAGTTGGCATAATTGGTTTAGCCATATCAATTCAAGTATGATGTGCAAAAATAAAAGAGAATTCACATGGGTAAACATTAAAGAACTAGAAAGTTCTTTATGAATTCTCTTACATTGCTTGTTCTCATTAATTAATAGACCAATTAAAATTGGAATTGAATCCCATGAATGCTGGAAATATCAAAGGTCAATATGGGCCCATTCACCTGCCATGTATACCACATAAGATGCATCTATGAGATGGTTACATGTGCAATTATTATTAACCCGCAACATGATGTTTTGCGAGGTAACTTGCTCAATAATTTAATTTCGAGCATAATTTCCAGTTTTTTTATTCAAGATAGTTCATCTTGATAAGTTGGTTTACATCACAGTTGGTTTAGCAAAATGATTTATTGAGTGCCTCCACTTAATAGCTAAACTATTGCTTACGAGAACAAAATTTTGTATATCAGTTTGATATAGGTTATATACGAAAGTATATTACATTCTACCCTCACAAGTGGTTCAGGGTCAGGAACCAAATAATTCCATCTTATTATTATTGATGTGCGGTGTATATTTTGATTAACACCATAACGCATAAAGATGGGTTCTTAAAGTTGAGGAAACAAGTTAGTTTTTCTAACATGAGGGGGAGACAAGATACAACAGTTGAGAAAAAGTTACATGGAATGAATTATCATTTGTTCATATAGATCCTCGAATAAGATAATATGAACTTGAAGTTCATAAAAGGATAATTCATGTGCAATATAATGCAAAGCATTCCAGACGCATTTGCTGACCCAAAGAAAGTAACTATATTCTCATTGCAAATGCTCCTATTAGAATAAGTCCTAGAAGGACAAAGTCTATAGTACGCTTAAAGCATATAGAAAAATCGGTTTCAAATAAACTTCTTGATAAAGAAGATGAGCAAATGATCAAAATGATCATAATAAAGGAGGCAAGCGATCTAGAAGATCACATGACATAACACTTCATAAAATCTCAAAAGAGATTCAGGTACCTGAAAATATGAATGAAGCTATGTTATGTCTTTATGAAAAAAATATTGAAACTGATATAAAATGTTTGTCGACGACATCTGTGATAGCGCTAAATATATATATGAGGATCTTAAGTCTGAAGAAACAATTCAAATAGAATTGGTTTCATATGAAAGACATATAGTTTTGAACATGTAGTTCAAACACTTGAAAGTATAAGTCAATGGTATGTGCAATCAGTTTTCGATATCTTATATGTCTAGCATGACATGAAAACTTGATATGCATCTAAAGTCTATTATATGGCTTATATGACATAACAATCCGTGAAGGATTTAAATTGCTTAAAGCATATAGAATTCATGGTCATGAAGTACTACATCCTCAGTGCAATTTGTGCACAAATGTATCTTGCTATAACTATATGCATGATGATATGATTGCAATAGTTTTTACCTCTATGTGAAGATATTGGACTGACGATTCCAACAAGATCATATGAAGATAATTCATCTCTATCAAGAATGATGATTTCAAGGTGCAATATATTCATTCAAGTTAATATAGCTGATTTGTTCATCAAATCTCTACCAAAGATCTTTTGAAGATGGTGCACAAGATTGGAATGCAAATGCTCAAGGATGTGAATTGATGCTCTCATCAGGGGGAGTTAATACGCGTTGTACTCTTTTTCCCTTACAAGGTTTTGTCCCACTGGGTTTTCCTTGCAAGGTTTTTAACGAGGCAACCAAAAGGCGTATTGTAGATATGTGTACTCTTTTCCCTTCTCTAGAATTTTTTTCCCACTGGGTTTTATTTTAGTTAAGGTTTTAACGAGGCACATTATCTGTTCAATAGACATTCAAGGGGGAGTGTTATAAATAGAATTTTATTGATGGTGAATGTCTATATTTAGAGAGATTCTAGGGTTTATTACTTGGTGGCTAAGTCACTCTCTCCCTATAAATAGAGGGTTCTATTCCATTGTAATTCATCCCAAATCAATAAGAATTCTCTCCCTCTACTTTTCTCTGCAATACTCTTCTTCTTCTTTTATTGTTTTATAATAGACAAAGAATTTTGAAAAATGTTTTCCCTTCTCTTGACAGGGAAAACATTTTCCTCCAATTTTCCTCCAATTGGAGGAAAATAAATTCATAAGGAAAAAAAAAATATCCAAAACATTTAAGTCAACCAAATATGAGAAAATTGAAAAACATTTTCGTTCGTACCAAACACACCCTAACTTTTCATACTTATTCATGATTAAGCTAAATAAAAAAATATGCCAAGAACTTTAAATAAATTTAAAAGGATATACTCCATCAAAGAAATAATATTTTTTTAAAAATGAAATTTGTATTTCACCTTATCCAATAAAAAATAGAAAATGATATCCAATAAAAATATTATTTTAATGTGTAATAAAAAGCCCCATCTTAGAGTAATTATTTAACATTGATTGCTAGAGTTAAGTTCAAAAAAATACACCGGATAGTAAATTTCTATTTTCTTTTTCCCTGAAAAATAGAAAATCCTCCTCAGAATTTGGAAAAAATATTCCAGAAAATGAGTAGCTCAGCAACAGCACCATGGAAGCAGCTTCTTCTCAAGTCCCTCAGCTCCAATTCCCATCTTAAGCATTCCACCTACTTTCAGCTCGTAAAATCCCTTCATTTTTGTTCCAATTTTTACTTAATTTTATTAAAAAGGATTTACCAAAAAAATTGTTCTTTATGATCTAATTTTGCTTCTGGTATTATTAGGCAACTGTTGGATCCAATGGCCGACCCTCTAATCGAACTGTTGTCTTCAGGTCTGTTTTCAGCCTTTTAAGCTTATAATAATGCTAAATTCAGAGATTTTTTTTTTCCATTTTCATTTTGGGTTTTTGTTTTGATTTTTGCAGAGGGTTTCAAGAGGGTACTAACAAGATTCAAATTAATACTGACTCACGAAGCCGCAAGGTCTGTATTCATTTATACCCTTTTCCAAGTTATGGCTGTTATTTGGGAAATTAATTGTGACACCCTTCTATTTTTATAAGCGTATGCAACTTTCAAGAATTCATATAATAAACTATTCAAATTTTAACGCTTTTAATTGATGTTATCTGAACTGTGAGGATTCATTACGCCAGCTGCCAGCCTACGGCACTTCTCCGTTATGCGGGCTTGGGACTGGCAATGTGAGCAAGCTCACACTGCCAGAATTTTGGGAACATGGTATGTGAGAATTCATATATCCGACCCTAACTATTGTTTGAGACTGAGGCGTAGTCGTTGTTGTAGTTGTTAGTATGATGTTATCTCTGTCAAGCTAACTTATTCACTGTTATTTTGTTAATTTTATCTTCTTCTATTATTAGTTTAACATAAGTCAAATGAACGCTATGGTCCATGGTCATATGAACAACCAACACATAAAATGGGACGGATGATTTTTTTAGTTGTTTCTATTTAAGTTGTGAATCTTGCTTAGAACTGATGACAGTTTACTCGAACCAGTGCAGATTGAAGAAGTTAAGCATTGCCCGTTTGCCGAGGTATTTGAACTTTGCTAATTCAATGTTTCTGGAGAGAATATAATATGATTCAGCTCCTTTCTTTTTTATGGCTGGTCAAATGTGAAACGTTTTTTTGATTAATCCAACGTTGTTCGGACGGATCTGGTAATGATTCAGGTGTGCTGGTATTTCACTGAAACTTGGGAACAATTCCGAATTCATGGAAGAGTAGATATGATTGATGCGTCAAATTCTGACCCAGATAAACTTCAGGTAATTCTCGCAAATCTACATTTCACGTCCTTCTTTTACATATTCTTGTGAGAGTTCATAAGTTTGTTTTTGCTCTACAAGTAATATATAACATGCCTCTATCTGTTAAGCCCCATTCTCTGATATTAGGCTGTGTTAAAAGCTCCAATTGAAAAACTTATCCAAAAAAAGTTCTCCAACTGAAAAGCAATGAATGCATTCGATACTAGCAGTATTCAACATTTGGCTGTGTTTCAAATACCATGCTCTCTGATTGTGCTAAAAGCTTTTCTAAAAACGTTTCATGGTGGAATAATGGTGGTGCTTTCGACACAATTCTATTATTCACATGCTTCTGCTCTAGATATCCTTGCATTATCTGCAAAGCTCATAGTTCAGTTTTTGTATTTAATCCCATTGTTGTTTCTCTAATCAGCTTAACTGGGTGCAAGACTGCGTAAAAAGCAAGTTACTTGATCAGTTCAGGATACTCTTGAAAGTGATCTACAGTGCCAATTACTTCTAATGACATTAGCTTCATAACTGGTCAATTGATGAGATACCATGTATATGTAAAGATTTTAGTAGTTATAAAGCAGAGATCTAATATATATTGTACTGAATCTCTATAAAATAGAGATCTTCACGGTAATTAAACTTTCTGCCTCAATTTTTTCTATTAGAAAATAATATATTTTCTTCTTTATATTCTGATAATAACAATTCAGCAAAGAGAGGCAGCTTGGTTTGCTGGTTCTGTGAGATCAAGGCTACAGTATTTGGGGCCCACTCCAGGGATTCCTTCTCTAGATGAACAACCATCACACGATTCATTGGATCCCTCTGCTGGTCCAGTTGATGCATTCTGCCTTCTAATTTTGGACCCTGAGCAGGTGCGGGTTTTCCCTGTTCATGTAACTTGAACAGACAAGAATATCACCTCTGTAACTTTTCAGTATTTGTGTTACTTACAGGTTGATTATCTGAACTTGAAGAGTAATGAGAGGCTGTCATTTACGGCCGGACAAAGTGTCAATGGTGAGAACTTTTGGACGCAAAATAAAGTCAACCCATGATATTTGATTTGTCATCCCATGGATTATGCTTGAACTATTGCCGGTTCAAAACCCCAATCATACTATTGGCATATGGACCGTAATGAATCTTTTTAATACTATTGATATCATTCTGAGAGGAACGTTGTTCTCTTTGACTAAATAAACGAAAATACAGTGTTTCATATGTAATACGATCTACCATTACATTATAGAAATTTGATGTCAGAATCATAAGAGACAGGAAATTCAAGTGTGAGAATTTTATTAATCAGATTAGTCATGGTTTTGCATACCTGTCTACAAAGACCTCCAGTATTCTCCTCTTGCTCCCTCAGTGTGTTTTACTTCTGATTGTACTATACGGATCCATGATTTGAACGCGATATTGCTTGCAAAACATCTATGCAAATGAGTATTTCAGGTTATGCCAATCAGAAGCTTAAAAAAGGGACTGTGACTTTGTTTAATGAGATTGTGGAATACTCAGTTTAGCAAGAAGTGTCCCCAAGGAAGGGCATGCTAGGTGATTATTCCTATATGTAAAATTAAAGGGCCTATTTATATTAATTTTAGTTAGTTATCTGCCAAATTGTGTGTCATAGTGGGAGTTCGTCGTATCAACGATGCAAGTTATGGAGTCAGTCAAGTTTCTAGACTCTCTTTTATCCTTCTCCTCAGGGGATTTCTTCAGTTGTTAGAATGTGAGATATAACTTGTTCCTTTGTGGATTCATTATGGATTTGTTGGAGAATGGAATTTAACTAAAGCCTATTTTAGATTCCCAAAACTCGCTGAATTTAAATCTCTAGTTAAGTATTATATATAATCATTGTTCATTTCTTGGTTTCTGTAGTACAATGTACTACCAAGGTGTTCTGGGTTTAATCCGTTATGATGCTTTGCATCATCAATCAAGGCTGTTGAACCTGATGAAATAAAAATATCTATTCTCTCTGTATTTTTATATAATGACGGTGTCAAAATGCGAATACTAATCTAATGAGATTTCACAGTTCCTGATGAAATCAATCAGCTGAATTTGAAGCACATGCGTACTAAGGTACCTCATCCTAACCTCTAATGCTTCACTTTCTGTTTGTGGTCCCTGGTATTCTTTCCATTGTGTCGTTGCCTCTTGTGACAATTTGAATGAACAAATGCTTGTGCTAAGCACCTGCCAGTTGTGCTTTGAAGGAAATGTTAAAGCTGAGTGCTTAAGGTAATAAGTTTATTATCTACCATCTAATGGTATGTTTGGACTTCACAGTTTTTGTTCCTAGTAAGCTGCCAGCAGCTTCTCGGAGTCGGTTCTCATACTTACCATTTGGCTTTTTATTGTATTTCCTATTAATGATTAATCGTTTTCCAATTTCCTGTGTTCATATATCCTACCGACCACTTCTTTCTTTTATTTTTTATTTTTTGTGGGGAGTAGGAAGGGGCATAGATATGCCTACGTCATGTGTCTATATGCCGCATAAGGGCAGCTTTGTCAAGATGTTAAAGGCAAATGGATGAACAGGAAAGACAAGTCCCGATTTTAATAAAAAAACTTGGAAATCTCAACAAATGCCATTCTTTGAAAAAAGAAAAAGAGCAATGTATAGGCTTGCACTGTTGGTTGGTCAAAGCATCTCCAATAGAAAAAATATAAACCATCCATTATTGTTGTTATCAACCTCAACCCCAATAAACACATATATATCTACTAGCATTTGGGCAAGTCTGCTGGAGGATGAGGAAGTCTTTCTAGTGGCCCGTCCCCGTTCTTCACAATGAACACCACCGATAAGCCCCAAGATAAATGTATCTCCAAATGACAGTGCATAAACCATGCCCCTATACATGAAAATGGTCCATCCATGAGTTTATTACAAGAGTCAGTCGAATAGTTAAGAGATGAAATTTAGACTTTAATTTATTACCTGGATTGTCAGCAATGAATCGAATAGCAGCCCATCCACCTACTGGAACTCCAATTGTGTTCATGTATGGTGGATCCACCAGATTGAAGTTGGCTATTTCGGGATCATAGTTTCCGGTACCATAACCCACAACGTAAAAGCTGTAGCCATGAAGATGAATAGGGTGGTTCTCCGTTGAGATAGTGCCGGTGTCCTGTAGGATAAGTTGAACCCTAGTCCCATAGTCAAGGACATAGGTTCTAGTTCCATTTAGAGAATTTGTGTCATTAGGAGCATTATTAGGTGCCCCATTCACAAAATCGTAGAACTTAAGGGGTACCCCAGGAAAATCTTGAGTGAAGTACCCATTGATGTTTTTGTAGTAAGCTTCTAAAATTGAAATGTTAGGCTTAATAAAGCTGATGTTATTCATGGAAGCAGCCATGACTCCACCCCCTTTAGCTTGGCAATCTTTCTGGGGATTCTTGGACCGGCATTTTTGCACGTTTAGTCCAATTGTCAAGAATAGGTTTTTGTCAATCTCCTTAGGAACAGCGACAGGATTAAGACTTCTAAGCCCATCCATGACTGTCTTAACTGCAAGATTATCATCGAAACGTGGTAAAGCTGCAGGTAAACTCAAGTCATTTGCTCTGGCGCCATAATATTGGAAGTAAGCAATTGATGATATGTTTTGGAATGAGACATTTCTAGCAGATTGGTAAGGTCCCATGGCCATCGAATATCTTGCTATGGGTTGATCTGCTGTCACTAGGACGTTTAGTGTTTGACCTGGACCGAGCATGACTCGGTCTGTGATCAGCGGTTTTGTGTACTCTGCATCAACTTCAATGATAGTCAACTTGTGATTTGCTATGGCAAAGAAATGCTCCTGGTTCAGAGCTGCATTGATTATCCTTAACAGGTATGTCTTCCCAGGAACCACATCTATTTTATAAAAATCTGAAACAAATCATGACACTTTTAGCTAACACGAAAGGTTTAAAACTAACAAATATTCCCATTAATGGTAGAAGTTTAATCATATTTCCTTCTTTTTTGAGTTAAAGGTTTTGAAGTAGAAGTTGAGTAATGGATGTCAACATTTACCATTAGCGGAGCAATTATAGTTAGGGCCGGGGTGGCCATTGATAGTAAAAGCATCAGCAGGTGGCGGCGCTCCACCGCTAGCTAGAACTGCCTGCTCAACTTGCATGATGTCTTTCATCCAATACTCTCCTGTATATTCCCAAGTTTGAGAATTGTAAAACAGTTTCGAGAAAGTCAGTGTATATAAGTTAAATCTTTTAAGAAAATCTTGGGAAATAAGATTGTTTTGGATTAGTTATTGAGAAAATAGTTCTTGATATCATTCCTATTCCAAAAAGGATTTACGTTATATACACAGTCAGTGCATAGTTTTTTAACACTACCAGTGGAATATTACCTGTTATAGCAAATTGCTTACCATTTACTCTAGGTGGTCAGTACACACTTGTTAAATAGAGTTACTTGCAATTACCTTTCAAATGACATGATTGTGTAAATAGTTTTAAGTCCGTTATTACACAGAACTTAAACTCTTCTAAAAAAAGATAACTTATATTGAATCAATGTACCTAAAATAATGATATGCTCTTCATAGGGAAACTTGAAAGGGTAAGGGACACCCTTCTTAGGGTAAACAACAATGGCGCCATAAACAGTGGCGCGAAGCCACGAAACATGAGCATGCCAGAAAAATGTGCCCTTCTGTTGCACCAGAGTAAACTCGTACGTGAAGTTTTGTCCAGTTTGTATAGGGCATTGTGTAATGTAAGAAGGGCCATCATACCAACACGATAGCCTCTGCCGGATTCCATGCCTGATGAAATCTTCAAAAGCCCAGGTAAGTTTGCCACAATGTGAAAGAAAAAGAGATGTGAAATAACCTAAGGAAAAAGTTTGTGATTAATCACCAGTGGATTGTGATATTGTATGGAGATTCATTTGTTACTCTGACGATAATTTTATCGTCTTCTTGAGCATAAACAACTGGACCTGGATACATTCCATTGATAGTTGGAATGTCTTTGGTGTTACATAGCTTAGTTATTCTAGTTGTCTGCACCTGAAAAAGAAGAAGTAAAATTTTGATTATAAAAGAATAACCACTGAGTAAATAAAGAAACTAGGTAAAACAAGAGGATTAAACCTTGAAGTCATAGAATTTTGTTGATCTGCCTCTTGGCCATTGTGATGTAAAACCTTTAACATTGTTGCTGTAATTACTGTAGAGTAAAAAGTTAAAGCAGAAGTAAATAAATAATGTATTGACCAAGTTTATCATGTTGAAAGTTGGAGAAAGGGTATTACAAATAGACAGGAGGAGATTTTTTTTTTTTTTTCAAGGAGATGACATGTTTTATATTACTAAGGTTTGAATGAATATATACAATGAAGAGAGATGTTGTCTAGCTAGATGTTTATATTTGGTAGCTTCCATGATTTCTCTCACATGTTTTTATAATAATAAGTTGTTGGACTTTTGTATAACTTATTATAGTCCCTGAACAGACTAACATTTTCCTTTTGGATTTAAATTTATACATGTAACAATGTTATTTTGTATTATTTGCAGGTTACTAACCATGCTTGTTACATAATTTTACTCCCTCGGTTTCATATTGTGTCTTAATTTGACCAGGCAAGACGTTTAACAATATAAAGAAGACTTTTAAATTTTGTGGTCGCTAAAGATATGTATAACATATCAAAAATACCATTGAATCTTGTGGTTTTAAACATGTCATGTTATTCGTATAAGGGGGTGTCATTAATGGTAAAATGAGAATATTGAAATCAAAAACTTACTAAATATAAAAAGACAAACAAGTTGACTTGACCGCGTGAATTTGTACATAAAATCTTTAACAATAACAATAAACTCAGTGTAATCCTATCTTGTGAAGGTAGAGAAGCCCAGAAATATGTGTGCAATCCTGGACTTTTGAGTAGGGACGACTACTTCCTCAATACAAACACACACCCCACAAACAAATTAAAACCCCCTTGGTGTCCTTTTATCCATCAAAAGAATAAACATAAATTCATACAATTATACCATGAGGGCCATGGCATGATCACATACAAGTGCTACAGTTGTCTACAATAGCTAGTAATAAACAAGCTATATCTATAATTTGTCAACTCGTGCTTAAGTAAATTGTGTCGTTTAAAATGAGATGGAATGAGTACTTGTATACATATTTAGGTCACCGTGTTGGGCGTATTTCCGACATGACCTTTTTATTACTGTTCTTCTGTTCAAATTCGCCGAGAATTATTTTCTTGAGCCAAGGGTCTTCCGGAAATAACTTATCTACCTCCACAAAGTAGGGGTAAGGTCTGCATACACTTTACCTCCCTGGACCCCACAATGTGGGATTACATTGCGTGTTATGTTATTGTTGTTACTTGGAGGGGGGAGGGGAGGTTATAATTTATGTTGCACGGGCTCCCTAAAATGCTGTTGTATCCGTATCAGATCCTCCAAAAATGCACTACTTTGGAGGATCCGATACACATTCAGTGATATTTTCGGAGAGTCCGAGCAAAAGTCTGTACGTACGGAGTATATATATGTGTTGAGGTTCAGAGAAGATCAAAGTTGGCAACATGTGAGATGACAAGATGATTAGGGCAACTAAAGTTAGTGTCAAAAATATGAAGTTAATAACCAAAGAAAAATGGTGCATGGGTTGTATAGACCCCTATTAAAAGGCGACCAAAAGGAAAAAAGTTCTGTAGTTTTTTTATGGTCTTTTCTCGACATTTTTATCACTCAAAATCATAAGCAGTTTTTGCACGCCTTCTTAACCCTACCGCTCTGAGGGCCCTAATTAAATCATCTATAAGGGGTCGCTTGTTATATGGGATAAGAATAATAATCCCGGAATAAGGTTTGGGATTAACTTTATCCCATGTTTGGTTTAGGGTATTAGCTAATCACGAGATAATATTTACACTAAAATAGAGGAGTTAGTTACCGTATAGAAGGTGAGATAACTAATCCCATGGGATATCCCGCCTTTGTACCAATAAACGACCCTTAAGGGGTCGTTTGGCATGAGGTATAAGAAGGTATAAGGCGTGTATAAAAATTTAATACCACCTTAATACTCTGTTTGGTTAGCAAATCAGGTATAAGTTATCCCGGTGTTAATTTTAACACTGGATAACTTAGAAGGTGGGGTAATTAGCACCGGTTTAACTTATACCTTCTTCTTCTTCTTAGAAATTATGCAATTGTCATTCTTAATACAACATACCAAACAATGAATAAACAACAATCCCAGCATATATCTTATCTCAATATAACTTATACCAGCATAACTTATACCGGTATAAATCATATTCCAACCAAAGGACCCCTAAAAGTATATATGATCTCCCCCGTATCTTTCTAAAGTTTAATTACTCTCTTTTTCCATAATTAAAGTATTCCTTCTAACAATTGCATTTCCGTGTCTTTTGTTTCTTCTTTTTTCTTAATTAAAAACCATAAGGAAAAATAGTTGCCAATATTTAGAAATTCAAAACAAGAATCTTCGTTACCATTAGATGAATTACAAACACATGATCAAATCTCTGCTATTTCCAAATTTGATGATTAAGCTAATTGGTTAATTCCAGATAGAAAAATCAGGGCACAAACTGATACCAAACTGCAATAAATATAAAACAAAATCTACGCATGAAATTACATTTTTATCAATCATTAATGGGATAATTTCACATAAATACAACTCACACACCTGACTTGCAACATAATAGCCTAGATACCACTTTGTAAATCTATAGCCCAAAAATAATAGGCTAATTCCCGAAAGACGACTTATTTCACACAATCAACTACGGTTATTGCTCCCTCTTTATACAACCAGTTGTTTTCATACACTATTTTGTGCAATTGCTGAAGCAATCCAACAGGATAAAAGAAAAATAAAAACTTGGTAAATGAATTGTAAAATCCCTCCAACGCGTACAAATCTTTTTTATACAGCACATACACGAAAAAGAAGAAGAGAAGGAAGTGTCAAACTTTCGTAGAGGCCTCTTACACACTAACAATGTATATACATCCTTATAAACTGAAAAAAAAAATATATAATTATACAACATTATACACAAATATACACATTTATACAAAATTATACAATACTGTATAACTTGTATAAACATGTATAATAGTGTATAAGAGGTGTTTGTATATTCATATACACAATTATACACTATTATACAGTGCTTATACAAACTGCTACATAGTTATGATTTTTATCCAAGCCTCGAGTTGTAGTAGAAGGTATTGGATGATTCAACTCGTCTAAAGGTTAGCAATTTTGCGCCAACGATTCGGAATTCAACGCACAAATACGATACATCCAATTTCAGATTCGAGACTTCAAGGAGGACAACACACATATCGCGGGAATCAATAACTTGCGATGAGCCAAGAAGGTCAACAAGCCTAAGAACAAGCAAGTTTGGAGCTTTCTGCTTCATCGTGTTGAAGATTGATTTAGCTTCCGATCTTTTCTCCTCGGAGCTCGACCAGACATTGGAAATTAAGGTTTCAAACTGCAAAGAGTCAGACCCAATTTCAAAAATCTTCAATATTCTTCTGCTTGCCACCATGGACGACGGAGTAGGAGCTCGAGCCTTCTTCGAGCCATTGATGGCAAAACTGCGTACGGGGTAGGGGAGGGGGAATAGTGGGGGCTAGGTTAAGAGAGGATGAGGGATCTATGTGGGTTGGAAAGAAAGAAGCGAGAGGCGGTGAGAGAGAATTTGGTGTGCTGGGAATGAAGAAAGAAAAAAATAATAAAAACCCTAAAAGTGTGTCTTTAATAATGGGCTAAAGGCTGAAAAGTTTCTTTCAATTTATGTACAACATGGGCTAAATAGGGTAAGAGCTTCAAATCTGGGTCATTTTCGGTTGGGCTGTTAGGTCAAGTGACAAGGGCCGTAATTCTTTCATCATTAATCTCCATAAAACCATTTGGACATTTACAACATCCTTAATTACAAGGGAAAATAAAATAAAAAGGAAAACAAAAGATTTTTAATAAAAAAAAAGTCTTTTCCATCTTTCAAATCTACAACCATGCCTTCCTCGCTGTACGTGGAGGATTCAAATCCCATCAGTATCGTAACATCCCTCCCTTGATGTAATAAAAATAGTGACCCCCCCCCCCAACCCCCCACCCCCCCCCCCAAAAAAAAAAGAATCTACAACTATTATCTTCCTAGCATATGCTTTTTGCATACGCGCATAAACTAAGTTGTTCGGATCATCTTCTGTCGGATCTTCTAAAGTGAATAACTTTTAAAGGATCCAACACACACCAGACAACATTTTTGAAGGATCCGATCAACATAGTACATAGATAATGTGTGTATCGTAACTTCCCTCCCATGCCGTAAAAAGAATGTACAACTATCATCTTCCTAGCATATGCTTTTTGCATGCACATAGACTAGCGGTTGATTGGATCCTTCAGAATGTTGCCACACCCCTGTCAGATCATCTAAAATGAATAATATTTGACGGATCCAACATACACCAGACAATATTTTTGGAGGATCTGATCAACAGTACATAGATAACATGTCTATAATAAATCAAGAAGAAGGAAGCTTAGAGTCATGTTTTGTAAGTAAAAGAGGGCGATCTTTGGCTTCTTCTTCATCATCTTCATCATGGAAAGTGCTAATGTTAATGCAAGAGCAACGTATAAGGGAGGCAAAAAATACAGATGCCATACTCGTCCCTATCCTATTTGCCATTTTATCCAATTTTTCGCAAGAAATAAAACTGCAATTCTGCGTCGACATGGGAAATTTTTTATATGTTTAATTTACTTTACAAAATGGAGGCTTAATTCAATGCAATATTGAAAGTTTGAAAGATCCAAATCACCATCAACGAGTATGGTGAGATGGATATAATCCTTCAACTTTAACCAAAAGTACGATCTCAAATTTTGTGCCTAAAGAATGGAAAAATTTCCTAGTGAATAGCTATTTCTCTTTAATAGGCTCTACGCGATAAATGTGGAGGACTAATGATATAATGAATTTTGAATAAGGAACGATTAAATAAAAAGATAATGAATTTTGTTAAACTTTAGATTAACTAGTTTGATGACAAAATTTCACTCCAGTTGGATAGTTACGATTTACCAAGGATCTTTTTTAGTTACACATAATTAAATGGATAACAAATAGAAAAATAATAAATAAACAAAAAGGAGCTAAAATTGGTTAAAATATCATGGTATAGCCAGTTTTCACACTGGTCAATGAAAAATAGCCAGCGTTTATCAAGTCAATGAAAAATAGCCATTATTTTATTGCAACAGGGACCGGTCCAGTATAATATACGGGAGTTCTGGTGCATTTGTGTACGAACTCCAGCATATTATGCTGGACCGGTATACTTTGCTAACTCCTGTAAAATTTGCGGGAGACTGGAGCACCAGTGCTCCAAACTCCAGTATATTATACTGGACAATTATACTTGCTGGAACTCCCGTAAAATTTGCGGGAGTTCCAGCATAATTATGCTTGAACTCCCGTAAAATTTGCGGGAGTTCCAGCATAGTTATCCTGGAACTCCCGTAAAATTTACGGGAGTTCAAGCATACTTATGCTGGAACTCCCGTAAAATTTGCGGGCGTATTTTTCCGGATTTTGAACAGTGTTTTCGCTCAGATTTAAAGTGGCTAAATTTCGATGACTTTTGAAACTTGACTATTTTTCAAAGACCAATGGTAAATCTGGCTATTTTTGAATTTCTCCCTATGGACCTTTTTCCGATCTACCGTTTGACTCCGTTAAGGAAACTTTTTGAGAAAATAGCCCTGCCCAGAATTTTGAAGGGTAAGTTACACATTTGAGCAATCGGCAAAAAATAATTGCATCTGCTAGCCATATATATATATATAATATATATTTTGTCGGCTATTATTTTTGGGAGTGCCTATACTACGTAGTTCTCTCAATCTTTTTTAAGCACCATAAATTCTGGCAGCACGCTTTAAAATCTTAAAAATGTGCTTCAAAATTTTAGCGAGCGGCTATTTATCCAAATTTTTTCTTAACAAGGTAAGAATTTAAACTGTTGCACTAAGCCATATACATATATTATACATTAATGGTACACAATTATACACCTATAATATATAAATTATGCATATATTATATTTGTATCGGCTATTTTTAATTTAAGCGATTGGGTCGGTGGCTATTTTGGTTAATTCTTCAGCAAAAGAATATGGGCCAAGCGGCCAGGTCATTATTTTGACATAATCAAAATCACATCACTGGAATCCAACCCGTTTCCGAAAATCTTCTTCAGGCATTTGATCTCAGAAATTGAGAACCTAAAAAGGAAAGTAATCGAAGAAGAAGAAAGATGCCGGTAATGGAGAAATTGAAAATGTTCGTAGTCCAAGAGCCAGTTGTAGCTGTTTCTTGTCTCATCGCCGGTTTCGGTAACTTTCTAATATCTTAAAATGTTATATTTTGCTCTTTGATTTGAAGAATCTCGAATTATCTACTCAAATTTTCCATTTGAATCGTGTAATTTAGCTAAAGTGTTTTTTTTTGCTCTTAGATTTAATTTTCCCTTTCATTTTCCCGGCTGACTGAGTTTTTTAGATTCGAGCTTCACTGATATACATGGATTTAATTCAAATTTACACATAATGTATTTTGTTCAATCGCATTTGAATATCAATCAATTTTTGAACAAAAAATAAAATAAAATTTGGGCTTATAATTTATTTAGTTCAATCGCATTTGAATATTGATATATTTGAATATCAATCAATTTATTATGAATTTAATTTTTCCTAATGGCTTAGCACTATGGGAAGAAGCAACGATTAAAGCATTGATTCAGGCTCACTCAGCTTGAATTCAATTATATTGTAATAAGGCTCAGCTAGGCTCAAGCTTAGGCTCAGCTATACTGTAATAAACTCGGCTGGGTTCGACTTGATGCTCGGCCTTACATGCAGTGAATCTACTGGTGCATTTGGTCTTATCAACCAGCTGCATATAAGTGATTCCGAGAGATACATGAACATTAGTAGATAAAATGCATGCCTTTGATCTATCTTAGCTGTGAATAGTGTACATTTTCTGAATCTTACAATCTAATTTATACTCATGTGTAGTTATCAACAAAAAAAAAAAGAAGAATACACACGCTGTGTGTGCGCGCGCATCAAGTATCTAAATCCAGAGTACACCATTTATAGGTCGAGAGGTTCTCTGCATGTGTTGTGATAGATAAGGGGTTGTTTTAGGGGGAGGGGAGGAGGGGCAGTAGTTATTTACATAATCTTGTCTCATATTTTATCATATTTTGGACGACTTCCCAATCCAAAATAGAAATGATTCATCCAGTAAACGATTTCCATCAAGGGCAGTGTTTTCGATAAATTTGGTTTTGTTTGAGGCTGGTTTTGATCTTAACATACCTGGCTGAGTGGGGATGGCAATGCTGACCCAGTGGATCTAAAAGCCAGTGGTACTGTGACAAGAAATTGGGGAAGTACATCTCTGCAACTATTAGCCATATACCTTGCAATAAGTGTCTATTACAGGAAGCCCTCTCGTTTTCAGTTGTCTCCTCTACCACAGAGATATTGACTGCATACACAATAAACTCCAGATTTTGCTCTCTTGGGGGGCCTCGATCTTGTTGGTGTCAGTAGTGCTTAGTGGATTATTTTCTTGTGTGGCACAGGCTATTAGGTCAAGCCTTACATGGGAAGCTTTGGAGAGTTCTGACGTGTGACGCCATATGCTACTCATGTGTTCTCACCATATCACTCAATTTTTTAATATGTTACTCATGTGTTTTCACCATATCACTCGATTTTTTTCCTTTTATCTGAATCTTGGGCTTGTTTAGATTCCTCTCCCATATAAATTTGTTGAGTTGTCCCACATCGGTGGGACTTGAGGTCCTTGGTCTCCTTATATGGCTTGGCAATCCTCACCTCACAAGCTAGCTTTTGGGGTTGAGTTAGGCCCAATGTCCATTCTTATCATGGTATCAGAGCCAGGCCCATCCCAATTATTGTTACCGATGTTGGGCCCCCATTTATGTTGTCCACGCTCCAGAGGCCTGGGCGTGAGGGGGGGTGTTGAGTTGTCCCACATCGGTGGGAGTTGAGGTCCTTGGTCTCCTTATATGGCTTGGTAATTCTCACCTCACAAGCTAGCTTTTGGGGTTGAGTTAGGCCCAATGTCCATTCTTATCAAAGTTTCAGGTTTCGGAAAATTGACCTTTAAATCCATTAACTTATTACGTATAAAATCTGCATTTGGAAGATTACCACTTAGGATCTCTTTTCATAATATCTTGGTTTACACCAGATGCATATGACCTTGTTGCACTGGAGTCTAACATGCTTAGTGATGGGTTGATTCCTTGTAACCTATTCAAGAAGTTGGTCAATAGGGATGATGAGCTGCTGAAACCAATTAGATACTTTGAAGTGCAAGTTTGATATTGTCTTTGAAAAGCACCTTTCCTTGTCTTTGCCGCCTGAATTTTGCTTTGACTTTGTCTGTGAATTAGCTGGTCCTACATCTCTTGTATTGTCAACTTTCAGGGCTTTGCCTTCCTGCATTTGTAAGGCCAATGCTTGATTCTTTTGAATCACCAAAGCAAGTCCCTCAACCTGCTCTAAGTGATGTGAGTAAATTTCTGTCTACTGGTTCAAGTACAGCTCTCCTGGTTATTTCCTCTTTTTCCTCAATTTCCTTGTCATTTTCAGCCGGCCAGATATGATCATTGTAATCTTGTTTGATGGGTAATGAAGACACAATCGTTGTAATCTTTTATGCAGTAAGGCAATTTTTAACAGGCTATGCTATCATCTATATCTATAAGGATATGGCGGTCGCTAAAAATCATGTCTTTCATGTTTATTTTTCTTTTCGATGTCCTTCATTTTATAGTTTTTTCCTTTGTGCCCCTCTAAGCGGTACTTTAAGATTTGAGTTTTAAACTGTTAGGACCGGTAGGCTTTGTTTGTCAATCAACCAACTCCTACTAGATAGTTTGTATCTCTTTGGCCAATAAAATAGACCTCTTGACTTAGCTAGATATAACATTCCAAAGACTGAGACAGGATTATGAGGTGAAGCATGTGGAATCTATTTAAGGGTCGCGTCTGGATTTCTAAAATACCTTAATTGCCCGCCCATTCAACATTTAAGTAGAAGATGGGGTGTCTGCTTTATATTTGAACAGAAATCTTCCCTTTCCATGTTTTGCAGGTGGTTGCTGGTGTGACTGGTAAAAAACAAGGATAACCTGCCGGTCAGATTTGCATTGCGACTGTTAGTTCCACCTCTCTTCTTTCATTCTGATAAAAAAATGGAATTAAGATCTTCATTTGTGGATAACGATTGAAGATTTTGTATTCGAGCTCTATGGATTAAGGACTTGCCTTCACTAATTACCCAGTAAGAGGCTTTTCACTATTTGAGTTGCTTTGTGTATGCTCTCTTCCTCTGGGAATTCGGTTCGTGCAAGTACTCTACTTTTTTGGCTTGACAATCTTGGACGTACATTGCTTCAACTTCAACTTGAAATATAATTTGCAAATACCATTGATTGTACTTGAAAAATACTCTGCAAATACCATCGATCGTACTTGATATATAATTTACGAGGATTCTAGTAATACTAGACGAACATCAACTAACAAGTTTCCATAAGATCAAAATGACTGTTCGTGTCGAAAGTTATGAGACGTGCACTTCCTTCTTTGATTTGCTATTCTTCCTTGGTAAGACCTGCTTGAAACCCTCGTATATTGCTGCCTGTGTAATTTTGTCGATAAGAATGAAGTTAGAAAAAGAAAACAAAAATAAAACAGAACAAAAGGCGAACCATATGCCTAGTAAAATATTTCAGCACATGATCTCTCAGCGATGCTAAGGTGTTGTAAATGTTGACGGAACCGCATTCAAGGGTATGTGGTTAATGAAGTGGGTTATGAATCATGAGATTTCGGTTCAAATTAAACAAAAATATCAGGTAAATATCAGGTGATTTCTTTTTATTTGTCGAAGCAGTAGCCTTGTTAGATAGTAATCTTTTACTAAAGGGAAAGCTGGCAAAAAGCATAGAGTGTACGTGCTACGTTCTCGCCCTCTATTTAAATATTGTTGGTAGAAACCCACTGATATGAAATTAGTCGAGGTCAGAGACCGTAACATCTCAATGATCCAACTCAGCAGATAACGCATATGATTTCTGGTTGTGTAAATGCTGATGGAACAACAGAGACCATAGCGTTTTAATGATCCAACTCAACACATCACGCATATGATTTCTGACATGACTTAGATAGAAATTGAGCAACCTATAGGAGAGGACAACACCTATCTTTCAACCCTATTCGTGCTTATAAATTGCTAAAGACAATCTTGATACATATATGCATATGGAATAGTAGGTTAGCTCTTAGTTCCATAGCCATCTTCTTCAATTCAACTGCCCCATATTATTAGGCAGGCTTACCCATGTGCTCATATTTATGTAGCTACCACAATTTGTTGAAAGGTTGATAATTTGGGCCACTGATAACAAACAAAATAAATGTAATTAAAGGTTGGGAGTATTGGTCAATTTGACCTGTCTAAACTTTCGGTTAATAAAGGGGTATTATCACTTTTAGCCCGCGCCAGAAACTATTTATATCTGGTTGCCGAAAAAATATATAAAATTGTATAATTTTTGCATATAACATACAATTATATATACACAAATATACAAATTTTATACGTTTTTTTGGTTATTATTTTTACAGCGGCTATACAGTGTCATTTTTTCTTAATAAAGTATAACCTAACATATGCTATTACTAAATTAAGAATAAGCAATAAATTAAATTTCTTAGCTAAAAACTAGAATGAAAAACGAAATATATGGAGAAAGAAAATATTTTTCTGACAATTTGTAACAAACTTATTTTAGAAATGACCTTGCGTTAAGAAGGTATATACATTGGCTATATTCATGCTGATTTGACTAAGTTGGTTGAGTCAAGACCTGTAGGACCAAGTGACTTATTAGACACCCTTTATCCTACACTCCTACGTACACTTTCCATCTTGTTAGAATCTTATTATTATTAAAGTATCTTTCATTTGTTCAATCGAGTTTAATTTTTATGTACGAATAATAAAAAAAACTTGTATAATCAAGTTATTTATAAAATAATTACAGATATAATCTGTCTGATAAAGATTAGTTGGTAATTTGATAAAAATAGTAATTGATCTACCATTTCAATTTTAACTACATTGATAGTGTACAAAAATATTTACTATGTCTCTTATTTATTTATTTTATTTTTATTGAATTTTAGATTTTCTAAAAAGAAAAATGTAAAAGGAAAAATAGTAAATTCTCTCTTTTTCTAACAGATAAAAAAATCTAAAAATAAATATTTGATCGAACTGTGTTTTTTCCTTCGATCCGTGAAAAGATATACTCTAGGGTTGTCAGTAATATAACTTACATCTTATTATTCTTCTACAAAATTGAAATACTAATAATATAACAACAAACTTAGTGTAAACCTGTTGAAACACGAAACATAAAGTGAAGAATATCATCTTGTTGTGAAGTGTAGAAGAGAACAAGAGAGTGAAAACTGTGAAATGGAGTTGTAAAACTTACCCATATATGAGACCTGCTAGAGAAACTGGATAAGCTTCCATTTTTTCTAAAGCTTGCCATTCTTGCACTTGAACTTCTGCCTTTATTATCACAATTACCATTACCAGAATTTGTTGAATCAATAGAGCATAAAAATACAGAAGAACTTGTACTATCATCATCAGTATTATTTCCCTTACACTTAACACTAATCTTCTGCCACCAATTTCCTTGATAATTATTTTTCAAGAACCTGAAGGAAGAAGAGGAAAACTTAGGCCTGACATTATTGATATTATAAGGTCCATCAAATACAGTGGTGGGTGATGGTGTTTTAATAGATTCTATATAAAGTCTTGGGGGAGGTTCTAAGAATTTAGGTTTAATATTGGAAGTGGAATTTGGGAGATTAGGTTTGCCAGGTTCTTGTTCCCATTTAAAAGGAACAGAAGCTAAAGTGTGAAGTGGTGAATTTGGCATTTCTTTATGTTCTTGTGACTGTTTTGCTGCTACTGAAAACTGAAGAAGCTTTGGTACTCTAGAACTTGGCTCCTCTGACCCCATGGCTGTAGATTCTTTGGTGGTTTTATGGGTGGGGGGAGGGGGGAGATGGGGTACTATATATAGTTTGAAGATGGAGAAAGAGATTTTTTACAAGAGATAAAAGGGATTTTTTTTCTTATTTTTGTTGGTTGGAGAACAGACTTTTTGATCACTTTATAGCAAGAAAAGGAAGGGGAAACGTAATTGGTAAAGTTGCTGTCATGTGATCACGAGGTCATGGGTTCGAGCCGTGGAAACAACCTCGTGCAGAAATTGTAAGGCTGCATACAATAGACCCTTGTGGTCCGGCTCTTCCCCGTACCCCGCACATAGCTGGAGCTTAGCGTGTCAGGCTTTTTTTATTTTTTTTTATTTTTAATAGCAAGAAAGGAGGAAAGACCGTCGGAAGATGTAGGGATGGATGAGATTTCTTTACTTGTTTTTAGAGCTTTCGAGTTCAAACTTTGGAAATGAAAAAGATTTCTAGTAAAAAATCGTTTTCCTCTTTAATGAACCTTATGCAGCAGGAATATAAATTAGTCTGATCAATAAATACTGAAACTTGATGATTAAAAATAGTAAAAAGAAAAGGAAATAAAGGAGCAAAGGGTGAGGAAAAGACTAAAGACTTTCAAAAGTATTAAAAAAAATGATATGCACTCATTGACTATCTGCTCCTTTTATTATTACTCAACTGATATGATAAGGATAAATTATCCTCCTGTTAGTCCAATGTTTTTAATGTGGAATAAATCGAACAGCATAAGAAAATGCGACACTTAAGTTAAGTGCTAAATCTTTTACAATTGCTTTTGAAAATGGATAATGAGTACCAATAGTGATCTTAAATTATCACGTAGTAGAATCTATTGTATGCATTGTTTTTGTCTTGTTTTGAAACAAAACTTCCCTAACACTCGATTAGAGCTCGTACCACTGCTAATTCTGTGTTACATAACCACCATCCTAACTTGGTTAAGACAACCAAGCAGGGAAGTATTTAGGAGGGTGGGAGGGGTTCACCGGAACCTTCTTCACCGGAAAATTACACTGTACTTGTAAGGTAAAATTTATTTTGCGTCTTTATATATTATATTTTGAATCTATTTGTCCCAACCTAAAAGCATCGCTCAATAGTTATAGGGGTTCTAAACCTTTGTAAGATTGTTGGTTCAATTCCCAGAGGCCACAATCCCTTTTAATTTTTTAATTATTCCCTTTTTAAATTCCCTTATTGAAAATCCTGTCTCCTTGTCCTTTCTACTTAATATAATTGTACTCTATATGATTGATAGTCGTGTATCGTCACCTAATACTTCGGTAGAAGAAAAATGTATTTACACACTCGTTTCCTCGATTCATCATAGGTAGTGATTAACATGGAATCACCATAAGGGTTACGGTGGAGCCACTCTTAACTAGAGGTTTTGGGTTTGAGCCATTAAAACAAAAAATCCAGATAGGAAAAGTTTTCCACTTTAACGTCTATCTGGTTTAATCGAGGTTCTAAAGCGGAGTACCAGACATCGGAATGAAAAAAAAACATTGACAAGACTAGTTGTATCAAGTCTTGTGGTGAAAATAGTACGGGCTAGCTAGTTTTCGAATTGGTAATTGAAAAATAGCCACTGTTTTGCTGAAATACAGAAAGTTCAAGCATAATATGTTGGATTATGGAGCTTATGCGTATAAACTTCCAGCATATTATGTTGGGATTCCAGCACATAGAAAGTTCTAGCATAATATGCTGGATTATGGAGGTCATGCGCATAAACTTCCACCATATTATGTTGGAACTCCAGCACATTATGAAATTCCAGCACATTTTGCTGGAATCTTATATGTAAAAAGTTCGAACTCCAGCATATTATGCTGGAATCTTTCCGGATTTTTAAGAGTATTTTTGTCCATATATTATCTTTACATGAAAAAATGGCTAAATTTCGATTACTTTTAAAATTATGACTATTTTCAATTATCAGTTATAAATCTGGCTAATTCTAATTTTTCCCAGTCTGGCTGGATATAATCTTTTCAGCCCATATACCACCAATGGTTATAAATTTGTTAGATAAGATAATCTGGTAATTATTATTTTGGGCCACAACATTATTTATTTGCAAGTATTTTTCTTCATATTAAAATTCGGCTTGCTTTACGAAATTTTGGCTTTTCAGTGTATTGGAGACTGGATTGGATTCTAAAGCATATATTAGAGAATATCAGCTCCACTCCAGGATCATAGTCATTTTTGCTTATACTTTTACCTGTTAGGTGTTTGCCATAATTTTCTTATCATATTTGGTTTTTCTATCTCTTGAAGGAAAAGGGCAATATAATTATCTTAACTGGGTTTTCCTTTTTGTAAAAGCAAATTATAAATCTCCAATATTTGGCTAGTCCTTTT